TCATCTATACCTTTTTAGTACCTCTTTATATAGCTTTTTTAGTGGTTGCTCTAGATATTACATTATATACCTAGATAATGTAATTATCCAGAGACATTATCTAGATATTATATTAAATATATATACATATATAATTATATACTCTATATAATCACAATTTACAGGTGTCATCATGTTACCAGTTTGTCTGAAGCATGGATACCTTACCATCCTTTATGTCCCTTTACCCTCCCTCATTGACAATATAATTGCCTTAAATAATTCCTCTACATCCATTTAGAACCACAAGTGTTGTAATTTTTGTTTCAACCTTCATAGATAATTTAGAAAATTTATGAGCAGAAGGAAAGCCTGTTTTACTTATCCATGTTTTAATTTACTGTTTTGTTATTTCCTTCCAGATTTTCTAAGGTTTCTTCTTTTATCACCTTGTTTCTGTTTAGAGAACTTACATTTTAGGATAGATCTGCTGGTGAAAAATTACCTTAGTTTTCTTTCACCTGAGAATGTCTTGATTTCCCCTTTATTCCTGAATGATATTTGTGTGACGTTTGGGATTCTGGGCTGGCAGTTCTTTTCTTTCAGCATCTGATAATATTGTGCTACTTCCTTTTGAGATGCATTGTTTCTGAAAAGAAATCCACCGTTGCTTGCAATTTTTCTCTGGTGCTTCAATTTTTTTTTTTTAGTACTGAGAAATTTCCTTGTAATCATTACAGAAGGTATTTATATCAACACACCACACCACATTGTACACCCTAAATATATACAATTTTTAATTGTGAATTATACCTCAATAAAGTTGGAAAAAATATAGTTTACTTTCTCTCTTCTGTTCAGATTGGATCATTTATATTTTTCTATCTTCCAGTTCACTGATTCTTTCCTCTGTCATATCCATTCTGCTTTGAGTCCATCCACTGAACTTTCTGTTTCGTATTTTTGTATTGTTACTGTATTTTTCAGTTAAAATTTTTCAGTTAATATTTTACTGTTTTTTAACTTGTATTTTTCAGTTAAAATTATTGTACTTATTGTATTTTTATTGTATTTTTCGGTTATTGTATTCTTCAGTTAAAATTTTTCTGTGTGATTCTCCTTTATATCTTCTATTTCTTTGCTGAGGATCTCTACTTTTTCATTTCTTTCAAGCATGTTTATAATTTCTTATTTTAGCATTTTTATCACAGCTGCTTTGAAATCTTTGTCAGGCCATCTAACAGCTTTGTCATCTTGGTATTGGCATCTATTGATTGCCTTTTTCATTCACTGTGAGAACTTTCTGGTTCTTGGTATGATGAGTGACTGTGAATTAAGAACTTGGACATTTTCTATTATGTTAGGAGACTGCATACTATTAAATCTTCTGTTTTAGCTGACTTTCTCTAAAACTGTTCTGGAAGGGAAGGGAAAGGTGGTGCTGCCTCATTTCTTCTACACAGAGGTAGAAGCCTAGGTTTCCACTTAGTCTCAATTGATACCTGCTATGGTGAGGGCAGGTCTCCTCATTACTGTAAGTAATGAGGTGGAGTTCCAGCTTCCCATGAGGTGTCCACTGACAGTGCAAGGCCTTCTTACAAGATTGAAAGGATAAAAGTCCCTACTTCTCTGACACCACTCAGGTGAAATTGATGGGCCACACTGTTATAGCCTTTTAAAAATAAAACTCTAGGTTCTCCACTCAGCCTTTGCTGGCATGGGTAGCAGTGGGGCCACAGTTTTTGTATGGTATTTGACTGCAGCAGAGCAGTTAATATCTGAAAGTTTTCTGATTTCCTAGGCTTCCCCATTTCCTGGTCGTTTGGGTAGAAATATACTGCTTTTATAGGACTTTGTCTGTAGTCACTGGCATTTCTAGGTTGCTCACTTTTCAGATTTAATTCTGAGATATGTGAGGCAAAAAGAAAACCCAAGAGCTCACCACCATATCATGTCTCAAGTCCCAAGTTCCCTAGCAAGTCTGCCTTTTTTTTTTCTACCAGTGGCTTTTTATGTTTATTTTATATGTTAAGTCCAAGGTTTTTAGTTGTACTTAACAGGAGGAATAGGGAAAACACATCTGGATGTGGAAGTTCTTTAACTTTATTATAAATATTTGGGCTACAGTTTTTATCTTGAATGTCTTTGGGAATGTTACTTTGCTCATTATTCTCTTTTTTCTTGTAATAATTCATGTAAGACCTAATGACCGACCTCTTATGTTGTTCATGTTTCCGTGCAGTAGGTCTTCCTGTGCTCCTAGGGGGAGCCTCCTTTTTGGAGGAATGGAGTGAATCAGAACAAGTTTCTGAGTTCATGGTTGTAGGGCTGACATTTCTATCATTAATGACCAATAATTCAAAATATGCCGAGTTCTTTCTGAAATCTGCTTTCCCTTCTCTTCTCCCATTCTCATCTGAATCTTTTTTCTTTTCCTTTGCCCAAGTGTCAATTTGATTCTACTTCCCATAGTTTCTCTTCAATATGGGTTTTTGTCCTGGAAGAAAATTTAAGCAGGTTGGTTTTAAGAGTTCATAGAGCCTAGGCTGGCTCAGCATTGTCAAGTATTTATAAGTCTCCCTGTACTCATATATGCACATTGGAACATTAAAAGCTCTCTCTCTGTTTGAGCTGGTTTTCCCAGATTGGCTGAGTTTCCTTTCACTCCTGAGTGAGACCCTTTCTTTTGAGGGTGAGTATTTATTATCAATTTCAGGATTTTCTTCTGCAGTTTCAACCATGGCAACATTTTGCTGTACTTTGGAGTTTGGGGGTACCTGGTCACCTAGTTTTGTTAAGATGTTACCCATGGGATTTTGGTCTTGTAATCCTTAGTTTCTATGTTTGTTTTGTGGGAGGATTCAAGTAGACTCAAACACTATACCACCACTTCCACCTGTCCTTCTTCGAACTCCTTCTTTAAAGAGGTATAAACTCCCTCCTCTATGTCATCCTGTTTTCAAAGGTTCATTTGCTTTCACAGTTGAATCTACTCTTGCCAAAATCGCCAATTACATCCTTGTAATTAAACTTGCTTTCCTGTGTCTTTTCTCACCACTCCAAACAATTTATTCAGTTCTTCAGCTCAACAGTAGCATTCAATTCCTTGGATACACATCAGGGCCTTTGCACATGCTGGTATTTCTGGCTGGACATACTTTACTTTCCCCTCCCCAGGTTCCTTCAGTCTCAGTTTTCAATAAACACTCACCCATCCTTCAAGACTAGGTTGTGTCTCTCGTATGCATTTCTTACTGTGTACTCAAGCTTGTAATAGTTATTAGAATAGTGTTTCACAATTGTCCACTTACCTCTCAACCCTCACTATAAATAATTCCTTTAAAGGTTGGAACTATGTTTTGCTCATCTCCATATCCTTAGTCATAGAGTAATCCATGGTACATTCCTTCAACAAATATTGAATGAATTAATGAAATAAAAAGTAGTTCTTTTCTGAGCCTAGACTTTTCAGTCTAAGTGTATGTTTGCAAATAATCACATTTTTATTAATGGATGTGTTGTTTTATTGAACATCATGGTAATCATCTACACTGAAGCAAATTTATAACAGCCCCAAGAAGTAAAATTAAAATCACCTGATCTATAAGCCCAATATGCAGTAATAACTGCTGTTAAAAATTTTAGGTGATATTCTTCCAGTCCCTCTTCTGTGTGTGTTTATGTGTGTATAATGGGGGAAATCTTGAAAATATTAAAATAATATATTTTTCATTTTATATGAGGCAGTTTAAAATGAGACTTTTTCAAATATGAGGCAATGTAGTGCAGTGAAAAGTGTATAGACTGTGAAGCCAGAATGCTTCAATTCAAATCCTGATTCTACCACTTATAAGCTGTGTAAACATGGACTAGTTACATAACTTCTCTGTGCCTCAGTTCAGTAGTTAAGTAGGGATAATCCATCCTGTGGGATTGCAGTGAGGGCTAAATGAATTAATATTTGAGAAGTACTTAAAATAGTGCCTTGCACATAATCAGTGCTATAAAGGCACATGTTAAAGGCATAATATAAATAATCATGATTCTCTACATGCTTCTCATCACAACATCTTGAAAAATAATATTATGTAGACAAAATCCCAGCCAGACTAGAATGGAAATGAAAGAAAAAGAAAACACTTCTATGTCTGAAAGAAAGGGGAAGTTATACAGATAGAGCAAGGAGGTCAAATGCCAAACCTCCATGGATTAGGGGGAATAAACTGCAGAGACACTCAGATAAATATCAAAGAATAGCAGAACATCAAAGCTAGCACCCCACTCTTCCAGGTGTTGCTTGGGAGAGGCTGCAAACTCTCTCGGAAGCCTAGCCTTCAGCCTGGGGCCACATTCAATATGGTTTAACAGCAGTAGTGCTGCACTATCAGAGGAAACTGTATAGAAAAGTCTCTCCCACGTTGTATGTGGTATGAAGGAAACCAAGATGTTTTCTAATACTTCTACCCAGGGGGGAAGACTGGTGCCATAAAAGAGACCTGGAATCTTAGGAAATAAATATTTCTGAGGTTCAGCAATTCAAGACAGAGGCAAGGATGATTGATGACCAATAGTAGCAGGTGGTATCATAAGCCCAATGACCAGGTAGGACCAAGCATGTCAGTAACAGGTTCATGAGAAAGAGGCCAATGCCAAAAGCAAGTGGGATGACATCTCTTATGGTGATGAAAAGGTAGGAAAATAGGCACCCTCATACCTAACAGAAGAGAATGCAAATTTATAGATTTATGGAGGGTAATTATGAAAAATCTACAAAAATAACTTTAGTGTATCTATTGAACCAGACAACACACTTAAATGTACAAAGATTTTCATGCAAGGTTAGTAAAATTTTACTGTATATGCAGATACTAAAAGACTGAAACCCAAAATATTAACAATAGTGGGGTAAAGGGGAATTTTTTTAAATTTGAATATCCTCATATGTTCTAAGTTTTCTACAAGCAACATCTATAGATTTTTATAATGAGGAAAAAGTCTTTATAAAAACTGTACTCTCTTACCTTTAATCAGCCTCTTCCAAGTTAAGGAAGCCATTTTTCTGGAAAGGCTCTCAATAAAAAGATAACCACGTTTCCAAGCCTGTAAGCTGAGTGATCAGACGGTGATATCTGAAATGCAATCACACCTTAAATTCAAACCAGAAATAGCCATTAGGCTCCCAAATGTTATTATTGTGCTCATCACTTGCCATTTAACTATGCATAACTGACCATCCAGATCATTTATAAAAATGTTAATTTAGACACGTCAGAAGTAATTTATGCGACGTCACACTGTCAATATTTCTTTCTTCAGAAAAACACTGTGTCTTTGCCTTTCTAAAAATATTTATGTACTTACTTATTTGGTTGTGCCGGGTCTTAGTTGTGGCAGGCGGGCTCCTTATTTGTGGCATGCATGTGCGGGATCTAGTTCCCTGATCAGGGACTGAACCCGGGCCCCCTGCATTGGGAGCGTGGAGTCTTAGCCACTGCACCACCGGGGAAGTCCCTGTATCTCTGCCTTTTATTTCTTGACAGGAAACAAAGGCTTTATGGGGAGGAGGAAGCCCTCACTCAAGGATGATTTAATTTTTCTTACCAAAGTGTATGAGTATTTTTCAAAGATTAAATAAATTATGTTTACTGGTTTATCTTTATTCTCATGCTCATTTGACCTCTTCAAATAATTCTAATAGAAATTATTCTGCAGATAAATCTTGGTTTTTGTTTTAATTTCGGTTGTAATGAGAGTGTTTTTCATATATACTTAGGTTGATTAAACCTCTTGGGAGAGTTTGGCATAGGAGAGATCCTCTTAAATGTTTTGAATTCATTACGTGAAATGAAACCATCTGTAACCTTTCCAAAGCAAAAACTCAAAGAACAGCCATCTGATAATGAAAGCAATAAAATTGGACATGAAAATATTGGTTGTGAACATAGTCTAAGAGAATCCTCACCTGGGAAGGTTCATAGACCCACTTAGTTTCCCCCCACTTCCATTAAGTCAAATGTGTCAAGCAAACGTCATCAGATTTGAGTGGCACTAATAGCAAACTGCTGATTGGACCCGATTCTCAAAAGCTTTCAAGATTAGTCACCAAATAGCCAGAGACTAAAAACACTAGATATGATCAATCTGGGACAGAAAAGAAAGACCTAAGAAGTTATAGTCAGTGACTTGAGCCATCTGGCCAGACTCTCCCTTCTTTTAGGTCATGGCTTGGTAACTTCATTAGCATTAAGCTTTGAGTTACCATTTTAAATAATGTGGAGCACAGTATTTCTGTCATGAACAAGACAAAATAAAGGATAGCTGGAGATGTTGATTCTGCTCTTGGTACATGCTGCTGCATGTTGAGATTAAGACATGATGGAGCATTTACACATTTGACTTAAAGGTGACTTCGTACATAAACTTTTTCGTACATAAACGTTTTAACCAATTCTGTTTGCAGACCTGCCAGTTGAAAATAAGAGTTCCCCTTTCCCCCAAAACAACATACAACATTCTGAAGACTTATGCAAATTATCATCATCCAACAGCAATAAAAATAATGTATTCATAAAGAGCTTTCTGGGTTTTGTAGCTCTTTTGTCTACAGGATTTCAGCAGTTTTAGACAGTGATCTAAAAATTTTCTCCTTCAATATCTTTCAAGTCTTGTTTCTCAAAGTTTGATCTCTACATCATCAACACTGGAATCACCTGGAAGACTGTCAGAAATGCAGAATCTCAGGCTTACCCCAGACTTACTAAATAAGACTATGTACTTAAACAACACCCCCTAGTGATTCATATGCACATTAAATTTTTACATGCATCAGAATCATCATAATTTAATCATTTATTAAACAAAATTCCTGGGTCTCACCTTGAGGTTTTGATTTACTAGGTCTGAAGCGGGAAAAAGAATTTGCATTTCTAACAAGTTCTCAGTGATGTTCATGCTGATGGTATGGAGACCACACTTTGAGGAAAATTGCTTTTCACTGGAGAATGCTTTGTGTTGACCCCAGTTTGGTAATAAATCATTCATATTTTAAGATAAATGGTGAGTGGTAAGAATCTAAGTTTAGGCACATTCTGTTGAATAGCTACTAACTTGATTGGTTAAAATTATATTTGACCTTATGTGCACACAGAAACTTGCACACATGCTTATAGCAATTTTATTCACAATTGAATAAAAAAATAAAGCAAGTTTATTCAAAACTTGGAAGCAAACAAAATATTTTTCAGCAGTGAATGGATAAGTAAGTGATGGTATATCCAGACAATGGAATACTATTCAGCTCTAAAAAGAAATGAGGTATCAAGCCGTGAAAAGACATGGAGGAATCTTAAATTCATATTGCTAAGTGAAAAAACCCAATCTGAAAAGGCTACATACTGTGTGATTCCAACTAGATGACATTCTGGAATTAGTAAAACTACAGTATAGTTTTATAGATAATAAAGATAATAAAAAGATCAGTGGTTGCCAGGGGTAGCAGGGAGAGGCGATGAATAGGCAGACCACAGAGGATTTTTAGGGCTGTGAAAATACTCTGCATGATATTATAATAATGGATATATATCATTATATATTTGTCCAAACCCATAGAATGTACAACACCAATACAGAACCCTAAGGGGACTCTGAGTGATTATGATGTGTCAGTGTTGGTTCATCCTTGGTAAAAAGAAAATGTACCACTCTGGTGACTGATGTTGATAATGCGAGAGGCTATACATGTATGGCGGTAGGGGGTATATGGGAAATCTCTGTATCGTCTTCTCAATTTTGCTGCAAACCTAAAAATTCTCTGAAACAATAAAGTCTTGATAGCTAGATGATGATGATAGTGATGATATGATGATGAAGACAAGAAGAAGAAGACAGAAGTGTGTGTGTATGTGTATGTATATATATATAAACAACAATGACCCATACAGTACATATATATGGGGGGAGGGGCTGCTCAGCTCACCAGGATTCTCCCAATCACAGCAGCTGTGCTCCTTGTCCTATCTCCTGGCAATATGGACGCTGGAACCAACGTAGAGATAATAGTCTCTATCTGCTCCAGTCAAATTCTCTCATCCAGGAATTTAAAAACCTGAATAAAGACAGGGCCTCTATTCCCCATGCCTTCCCAGGCTCAGTTGTTTAGTTTTTTCACCCATACTGTAAGCTGCCAATATTATTCCAATAATCTATTCTTCTCCAAAGTTTTCAGAATTATCAGAAATGCTTTTATTCATAATTTATTTTCAAGAGCAATTTCCTCCATGAATCAATCCTTTTTTGGTTTTGCCTACCATTTCTGAATAAAGGCTCCATGAGCTAGTGACAGAGAGTATAAATAATGAAAACAGGCACCTCTTATGCAACATCAATGGCCAGCATCCTTGTTCCCTATTGTTTATTGTCTGTTGAATGAAGATTCCCATACCCTCTGGGAAGAGCCCAGACAGGGATTCTGTTGGTGTTGATACAATGCCTAGAACTGACAGTCGCGGTGGAGCTCAGTTCTCACACGCCTTCCACTTTGTGGGTAGAGAACAGTCAAAAACATGCTGAAAAGGGACTCCAGGAGAGCAGAGGAAGCAGTATGGAAATCAGCAAGGAAGGGGAAGGGTAGGGATTCCTGGAGCAGGAAAAATAATGCCTTGATCCAGCAGTTCAAATGAGGCATCCTCCACTTGGAGGACTATGCCAACACTCCATCTTTGACATAAGTTTTGGTGCTTGGAAAAGATATTTTACCCTGAGCAGGAACTCAGGGTATGGCGCAGCATCAATAATTGAAATTGAAAAGTGGTAGCTAGGGAATTCCCCGGCAGTCCAGTGATTAGGACTCTGTGCTTTCACTGCCAGGGGCTGGGGGTTCAATCCCTGGTTGAGGAACTAAGATCCCACATGCCGGGAGGTGCAGCCAAAAAAAAAAGGTGGTAACTATGTGAGGTGATGGATATGTTAATTACCTTGATTGTAGTGATCTCACAATGTATACATATATCAAAATATCAACTTGTACACCTTGAAAAGGTACCATTTTTAGTTGCCAATTATATCTCAATAAAGTGAAAAAAGAGAAAAATAATCATTGAACTGTTCTATGGGGGATTGCTAGACTGTATGCAGGACTCCTACAGGCAAAAATGGTCTGATTCACCACCACGACCACCATCGCCATCATAAAAGTTTTCAATGTTTAATCTCTTCAAGTTTTCAGAACATAGCATTGTCTGGGTGAATAAGATATTGAGAAACAACACTCTCCCTTCCTCTGACTAGCACCACATTGAGGTCCACCGTTAGCCTCAAATGAAATCCTCTAACTGGCCGTTTCTTCTTCTGAGGCTTGAAAACAGTCTGAACTCGTCAGTGCTGAAACCAACAGATAAATTCCTAGAAGGATGCACAAGCGTGGACCACATGGGTACCTAAGGAAGCAGCAGGGGCGAGAGGCCGGTCTATTTGTCTCAAATGCCAAGGTAGCTATTTCTTCCTTTCCTTCCCTCACATGCTCACAGTTTTCTGGATGAAGAGGATTTGAAGATGAACTGTAACAGGGAAGGTGTGAACCCCTAAATCTCTGAATTTCCTCACAACAGAGAAAGTGATAGGAAGTTGTAGGCATCTTCATGGGACTTCAAGATGCTCGTGGGGCCCCTCAACATCTTTCTTGTTCCCCTCAGCTGGGATGGACCTGTTTTTACAGTCCCTGTCCTCCTGGTCTCCCCCAAATGGAGATGGGGCAGTTCCTCCCTTCCCAGAAGCTGGAGAATATCCAGCCTTCATCTGGAGGTGAGAATAAAAATAACCTGCAGCATGTAGCTGTTATCTCCCTATACCATCCAATGAATTCAAGAGGAGAAGTCCAACCACAGCCTCTGGAGATAGTGATTTGAAGAAGTACATTGCACTCTGCTTACCTGAAGGAAAGACTTAAGAATAAACACAAAGTAGATGAGAACTGCAAGAGAAACAAACCCGGATGTTAGCTGAGGCGTCTCTGGCCCCTAGAGAACTAAATATGATTGATTCAAGCCCCCATTTTCATGTGCTGAGCAATCCCCAATCCTTCTCTAAGTCAACGATAACTTCCAGTGAAGGGAAGGGGGGTAGTGCAGGAGACTAACATGTTAGGATCACCTCTGACTACAACCTACTGCTTACTTAGTTTGCTGGTCACTTTACCATTTCAAAGGTGCTCTCTCTCTTCTGCGCTGCATCAACCCTTAGCAGAAAATCAGCATCTGTCTTAATTTCTTCACAAAGGCACATGTACCTTCTCTCTCTCTCTCTCTCTCTCGCGCACACACACACACACACACACACACACACACACACACCCTTCCTAGGAAAATTAGTGACTTTATTATATTTTAACAATTTTCCAGATTGGAGGAGAAACTTATAAAGATCTCCAAGGACCTCTCTACCAGGCATATTTCTAGAGCCACCTTGATCTTTATCTGATCCCTCGGTCTCAAGCTATCTTCCTCATGCCACCTTGCTTCTTCCTTCTCTCTCCTCTTCACTTCTTCCCTCAAGAGCAAAAACATATTCCTTCTGCTGCCTCATGCAGAGCAGTTTGGCATTCTCCTTCACTGCACTGGCTCCTGTCCTTCCCCACATCCTTGGGTCCCCACTACTACTCAAGCATAGAACTTGAGGGCAGTGGTTCTTAAGTAAGTGTGGTCACCAGAACCGCGGTACCTGCATCACCAGGGCACTTGTTGCAAATGAAAATTCTCCAACCCCACTTCAGACCTACTGCATCAGAAACTCTGAAGGTGGGTCCAGAAATCTGTTTTAACACATCTGCCAGGCAATTCTGAGGCATGCTTAAGTTTGAGAAACATTGCTTTAGGGAATAGCAGTTAAGGGACTGGTGGAGGAAGAGCTGCCAACAAAAGAGATGGAGAAAGAAAGTTTCCACAGTAGATTATTGTTTTCAATGGCACTGCCAACAAATGCCTGGAAGGGAGGGAAGTTTCATCACCACCACCACCCCGCCCCTGTAATCTCCTGGCACTTTGTAGCTTCGAGACAAATGCCCCATCTCCCAATTCCTGCTAGATTGCTACACTCCTCCAACAAGTACCTTCATAAAAAAAGTCTGAACCTGCCAGTGGTTGCTCTAGGGTTGCCGTAGTTATTACATAGGCTGATGACATAAGCTTCAAAGATAGTATATTTATAATCAGAAAATATTTGTTAAAGATTGGTTTGGCCAAAAAGTTCGTTCGGGTGTTTTGTACGATATTATGGAAAATCCCAAACCAACTTTTGGGCAACCCAATAGACACAAAATAAGGATAGGGTGATTGAGCACAAATACTGTGGAAACCAAACAGGACAGTTGACAGTGAGTGATGAGTTCTAGCTTTGTTTATATTATAAATCACAGACTCGCTTCTCTTCTCTCTTTTTTTTTTTTAATGTAACTAAATTGGAGCACTGAGAAAATAATAGATTCAAAAGACAAACAGTTTTGGCTTCAAATTCTAACAATAAATCATCTCAGAGACTGGCCAGTGGATAATTATTTTGTGTCTCGGTCTAGCACAAAGTTTTTGGGTGACCTCCATCTATGGCCAAGGTCAATCATTGCAAATAAACCTCACAAAAGGTACCACATAGCCAGCAGCCTCAGGGGATAAAAAGACAAAGGAGTGTGTGGGATGGAAACTTAGAAGATCCCATGACCTAGGTTCTCCTCTACCCCAATTAGAAACAGCAAAAACAAACATCCTTCATAGTTGGGGCAACCAGTGATCTGTCTCCTGGCCTGACATTAATTGTCTCATGCCCATAATGCTGTTGTAATTATAAAAATCAAAGGTGATCTGTAGGAATTTTCCATGATGTTTAAAACATTCTTTTGATTTTCTAACATATTTTATATGCCTTCCTACATAATGATGCTTGGATTAGTCATATATTGCTACACAGCAAATTACTGCAAAATTTAGTGGCTTAAGAAAACAAACGTATTATCTCACATTGTTTCTGGGTTCAGGAACCTGGGAGCAGCTTAGCTGGGCAATTGTATTTCAGGCTCTCTCAAGAGATCTCAGTCAAGATGTCAGCTAAAGCCATAACAGAAAGCTTTACTGAGGCTGGAGGATTCACTTCCAAGATGGCATATTTGCATGGGTATTTGCAGGAAGCCTCAGTTTCTCAACACATGGGCTTCTTCTCCATGTGGCTGCTCACAAGATGGCAGCTACAGTCCACCAAGTGAGTATTCCAACTCAGGGAGTGGCGCCCTCTATGACCTAGTCTCTGAAGTTGCATACTACTACTCCCACTTTATTGTTTTTGACAGAATTAGATCACTAAGAAGAGCCCACACCCAGTAGGATGGGATGGGAAGGGAGGAGTATCAAAGAATTTGTGGACATATCTAAAACCACCACAACATTTTAAAATATTTATTGGGTTTTCCTCCATGGATATTTCACACTCCCTTCAAAAATTTTTTTTTTTATAAAACTCGACCATAGTCAGCAAGTGTGATTGCATAAATCTACACATGTAATGAAATAGCATAGAACTATATACATGTATTGTAAAACGTCGATTTTGTGTTTGCTTGATATTTAAGTAAAATGTACACGTGACTATTCTGTACCATCTTTGCAACTTCTTGTGACTCTGTAACTATCATATATATGATAAAATAAAATTAGAACAGCTTGCTGAAAACCAGCCTACTTATGCAAGCCTACCTAAGACCTGAACTACCTCCATGAATTTTCTAGGCAGTCACTTTAAGCTAATTTTATCTTCAGTCTGTACAAGAGTATGTGTGTGTGTCTATTTTGTCTTTAAGCCTGTCTGTCTGTCTTATGGTGTAGCTGTGTTCCTGTTTCTGGTTCTACATCAACCAGCTTGACTGCATTATTATTAATTCAGCCTTTTATTCATGTGAATTTCAACATTAACTCCTCAAGTTTCCTCTGAAAACTTTAATGTATTTTCTTTCTGGGAAACACCTGGTATTCTGATCTCCTCCTTGATATTGCTTATATTAAGAAGTTATCAGGCATACATTTTTCTTCCTCAAATGTTAGCCTGATAGTAATTATTTGCCCTTACAACTTAATATTTTTAATAAGTAAGGAGAAAACAAATTAAGTTCACTTTTGTTAAAGTTTAGATAATTCAGATTTAATAAAAGCTATTGGCTGTATCACACAGGGAACTTTGCTCAGTATTTGGTAATAACCTAAAAGGGAAAAGAATTTGAAAAAGAAAAGATACATGTATATGTATAACAGAATCACTTTGCTGTACGTCTGAAACTAACACAACATTGTTAATCAACTATACTCCAATATAAAATAAAAACTAAAAATGATAATAAAAAGTTATGAGTCTACAGTAAATAAATCCATAAAGCAGCAAAAAAGAAAATAAAGCTATCAGGTAAAGCTGTTGATATTTCTTATCCAGAGTATTATTAGAACTTTTAAGAAATGCTTATTTTTAAATAATCTTTTGCATGTGAAAAACATTATAAAGAAATAAGTTAAATATTTAAAGTGATTATTTCAGGTGACATAATTTACTTTAATTTTCTTCTTTATCAAAAATATCTTATTTTCCAAATTTCCTAGAGCAAGCATGTATTACTTTTCAAATCAGAAAATATATTCTTGAAAACACTGATGTATTTAATTTTCTGTGATAACAGTCACATAAAAATAACACGCTCAGCAAAATGATTGAAAGGATACACCCAAATGCCAACAGTGACACATTTGTGTTGAGTTACTGGTGATATTGTCTTCTATTTTTCCAATTTGTTACATTTTGCATGATGAGCATTTATTAATTTTGTAATGACGAGGTAATATAAAACATACCACTGCCTCCCATGCCTTATGCTTCTCAAATACCAGATTAGCAGTAGTTGCATTTTATGAAATCTTGGCTCTGGCTGTCAACAGAAGAGTTTGCCAGCAGACAGAGGTTTACAAGATTTTAGTCACTGAACAAGGAGAAAGGAGCAAATAAGCAAACCCATAAAGAACTTCAGCGACTTTGTTACAGTTGCTACAACTTTAGCAACTACAAGCATACACTAGTTTACAAGTGACAATATATGACTCTCCACAGAGATTATTCATAACACAGATAGTTCCTCTTACCTTCTTCCAAAATCAATACAAGCAGCTCAGAGCAAACAGAAGGAGCTGACATGGAGGTGGTTAAAGAGAAGGATGACTTTTTAAAAAATACACGTTACCGCACACTCAGGATCAATGAGTATTCACCTTTCAGACAGTGCAATTTATACAAAAAAATACAAGGGCTCTAACCCCAAAAAGAGTTTTGAAAGCCTTAACACCTGCTCCCTGATGCCAGACACCCAAACTCAAAATGCAAAACACTATACATAAGAAGGAAATATAATCATCAGAGGAAAGCAACTGCTGAATCAATATTGAGTGGAGAAAAAAAAAAAACTTCTAATAATGGTTCAGTTTCAAAAGAATAACACTGGTTGTCAGTTCGCAAACTGGCCCCCACACAGAGAGGGCAAGGGGAGACCAAAGAAAGAGGCAGACCTCTCCAGATCAGTAGGTGACAGGTTTAATAATCAAGGGAACTTACATCCGAGGCTTGGCTTGGGTGGCCTCCAGATGAGCAGATCTCTGCACCCGTCTGCCAGACTCTTAGAAGTTTATATAGAAGGCTTAACTGGGTTCAATCACATATTTAGTCCAGACGGTCTTGACAACACCTAATTCTCTCAAGGCTGAGTCTTTGAAACAGCTGCGAATGTGGAAATGGTGGGTGGAACATACATTCCAAAGATGGGAGAGGGTGAGGAGCCTCTGATTGCCCAAGTCCAGCTTGAGGATCAACCGGCGGTCACATCCTCTCCATGACCTCCTCCAACAGTGGCTAAGTTAAAACTTAGTTACAACTTTGTATATCCTTATCTTGATTTTCTCAATCATAATAGACCTTGATGAAAATAAAACAATTTTAAGTAAAATTAATTGAAGATAATAAGTGCTGATTTATCATTTATTGAGCCCTTTCTGCCTTAGTCTGGGTTTCCCAGAAAGTAGAATAGAAGGCAAAAGGCTATGCCACTCTTTTATTAGAGAGTACAATCCTAGGAAAGCAGGAGTGAGGGAAAGGGGAAAAGTCAAAGAGGAGGGAAAGGAAATGCAAGTCATTTGTACAGCTTCTTGGATCATTCTATCTTCTGTAACCATATTCCAACAGGCTGTATAAATTACTATCTCAGAACAATCGATCCAAGGGGAGAAAGGAGGAAAAGTTTACCCACTGGGTAACATCTCTTACTGAACAAAGATTTTCCCCATTGACATTGGCTCCCCTGTACCTCTGGTTTGCACATGCATGGGGACCAAGTGGGTCCTGCAGTCTCACACTTCAGTAGCAACAAGAGCATTATAGGATTAGAGATGCATAGGTGTAAAGCAAAGAACTGTAATACTTTTCCCTTGTGAAATCAGTGGTTGCAACAGTTCAGTGCAACAAGTGCCCAAAGACTCTAGAAAGAGGTGAAACCAAAAGATCTGAGATACATAAAAGGTGTCTGATACATCCCACCCCCTTGCATTGCTCAATACTCTCACATAATATACAACTCCTATATGATAATTTAGGCTTCCATTATTGATAAAACAAAATGTCCTCACTTGTTATCTGAGTGAAAGATAGAAGCCTAATTAGTCACAGAGTCCTCTTCCAAATGGTGACCACTTTGGAACTGAATAAAAAAAAACACAACATAGAAAAAGTGTGGGATCCAGCGAAGCTAGCATTTAGAGGGAAATTTATAGCAGTAAAGGCCCATATTAGAAAAGAAGAAAGCTCTCAAATCACTACACTCAATTTCTACCTTAAGAAACTGGGGGCAGGGGGGACGTTAAATCTAAAGTAAAGAGAGGAGTGGAAATCAACAGAACTGAAAAACAATAGAGAAAATTCTAAAAAACAAACACTGGGTCTGTGAGAAGATAAGTAAAATTGATGAACTGGCCATACTGATCAGGAAATAAATGAGAGAAGACACAAATTATTAATATCAGGAATGAGAGTGGTGACACAGCTATAAAAGTCACAAATAATAAAATGATTAAAGAGAATATTTTAAACAATATTTTGCCATTGAAGTTAAAACTTTGATGAAATGGACAATGTTCATTCAAGAAGTAACAGATAGTCTGAATATTTATTAAATTTGTAGTTACACTCTCACAATGAAAACTCCTGGCCAAGATGGGCTCACTGCTGAATTCTCCAAACATTTAAGGAAAAAGGAATACTAACTAAAAACTTTTCCAGAAAATAATGAATAAGGAAGATGTCAAACTCAGTCTGTGAAGCCAGCCTTAATCAGCTATCAAAACCAGACAAAGATATTATAATAAAAGGTAACTACAAACCAATATCCTTCATGGATGTAAATGTAAAAAAATTTTTAATTTTTGCAAATTAACTCCATCAATACATAAAAGGGATAATATGTTATGATTAAGGGTGTTTATCTCAGGAATACAAGGTTGGTTTAACAGCCAAAAACCAGTCAGTGTAATTCACCGCATTAGTAGACTAAAAAGAAAAACCATGTGATTCCCTCAATAGATACAGAAAAAGCATTTGACAAAATCCAACTCATTCTTGATTAAAAAAAAAAAATCCCTCAGGAATCTAAGACTAGAACTGAACATTCTCAACCTGTTAAAGGGCATCTACAAAAAGTCTACAGCTACCATCATACTATTTTTCACCTAAGATAGGTAACAAGGTAAGACTGTCCACTCTCATTACTTCTATTCACATATTAGAGATTCCAGTCAGCGCAATAAGGCAAGAAAAAGAAACAAAAATGTTAAATAATTTGGAAGGAAACCTAAACTTTTATTCACAAACATAAATGTGTATGTAGAAAATCCTATAGAAGCTACAAAATAACTGTTAAAATAAATAAATTTAGCAATGTTGCAGGGTATGAAGTCAATATACAAAAATCAGCAGTATTTATAAGTAATACCAACAAACAATCATAACTGATATTAAAATATATGTCTTTACAGTAATAGCAAAATATGAAATACGGAGGGATAAATCTGAAAATAGATGTGTGTGACTTGTACACTGAAAAGTACAATAAAGTACTGAGGGAAATTTTTTTAAATAAATGGAGAAATATACCATTTTTAAGGATTAGAAGACTCTATTCTGACGTCAGTTCTCACCAAATTGACCTATAGCTTCAATGTAATCCCAATCAAAATCCAAGTGGCCTTTTCTGTAGAAATCGACAAGCTTATTATTATTTATATGGGAAATCAAAGTACCTAAAATAGTAAAAAAACTTTGAAAAAATACAAATTTGGAGTATTTCCACACCGCTATTTATTTCAAGACAGATAATGTAGCAATAATCAAGACATTATAAAGAAAGATATATAAATCAATGGAATAAGATTCAGAAATATCCCCACACATACATGGTCAATTCATTTTGAACAAAAACAATTCACTGAGGAAAGAAACATTATTTCAACGAATAGTGCTAGAATTATGGGAGAGCCTTATGTAAAAAAAAATAACCTTGACTTTTCACACTATTTACAAAATTTGAATTAAAATAGATCAAAGAATAAAAGTAAAAGCTAAAACTATACAACTTCTCCAAAATAATATAAGGAAAGATCTTAGTGATCTTGAGTTTGGCAAAGATTTCTTAAGTATGACACAAAAAGCACAAACAATAAGAGAAAAACATATCAGTAAATTTGCCTCCATCAAAACGTAAATCTATCCCTACTTTACCTCCCCACCACAAGGAAAATAAGCGTTGTGTGTTGGGATTTTGGATACAAGTATTTCTAACGATGAACATGGTAGTTGTATTATTCTTCAGGTACCTGTGCATGGAGAAGAGAGGAACACAAGCCTATTCTCATTCTAACCCCTCTGGTCTTCTCAGCACATGCCATGCTATAATCCAGGTTAAAATGACCAGGTTTCTGTCTACTCACAGCAAGCAGTTTAAAGTCACACATTAAGAAGATTTTCCTCCTGTCAACAAAGCATTTATTTTTTGTGCCAGGATTTATTTTGATATTCCCAAAGTTCCCAATTCTGCATGTTTTCCAACTATTGCCTCCCTTCCTGAAATAGTGCTAATTTGACACAGGAGTCTGTTCCTATCAGTCATCGAATGACAAGCTTTTCATGATGTATTGTACATCATTTGTACAATATTTGTAGAACTGTCACACTAGGACAGCAAGGAGGGTCACGTAAGTGCCATGTCAGCAGTGCCCCTCTCACTCCTTGACCATTTCAACTAACATTATACATGCTTTTCAGCTCTTATTACCTTCTTTAAGCAAAGACATCACACACCAATATGCATTTTTTTCTATTTTTAAATCTCATTTAAAGTAAATTATTATTTTTTGACTGCCTGAAACAACATCCACTATAAAATGTAATTCCATGTACACACCAAACAACAACAACAAAAATCTAGTAATTAGTTCCCTGGCTTTCACTCATTTCCATTCTGTGTACATGTGGATATATAAGAACACCTTCTTGAATTTCTCTTGCCATACATATTGAATATTAATCCAGAATGTCTTCGATGTTCTTTATAGTTAGTTAATATTTGTTATATATTAAAGAAAAAACCGTTGTGGAGAGTTTTAGGATAACTCAGTTGCACAGCTTAGATCTCTGAGGACTACAAAATCAAAGACAAAGAGGCAACCAAGCCTAAAGCAGAAGACCTGATTTGCAGTCTTACTCAACCAGTAGAAATATTTGCTTTTGCAGAAAAATCTATGTGCATGGCTTAGATATCTGTGGTTTGACCGTACTTCATCCATAGATTCACCAGGCTGATTTTTTATCTTCATGTTTTCCGAGTCTTTTTTTAATCTGCTAAATGAATTTTTCTTTTATCATTCAAGGAAGGTGAGAACAAGCTCCTTGTGTAAATACTTCTGTTCTTTGGAATAGATTAAATTAAATGTGCATTAAAATTTGAGGATATGCACTTAGTGTACCATTTAGAACAGTGTACTTTTTTTTTAAATTGCATTTTATTTATTTATTTATTAATTTTTGTGGTACGCGGGCCTCTCACTGCTGTGGCCTCTCCCATCGCGGAGCACAGGCTCCGGACGCGCAGGCTTAGCGGCCATGGCTCACGGGCACAGCCGCTCCGCGACATATGGGATCTTCCCGGACCGGGGCACGAACCCATGTCCCCTGCATCGGCAGGCGGACTCTCAACCACTGCGTCACCAGGGAAGCCCTAGAACAGTGTACTTTTTACACACAGCTCTATAGTTGTGATTACATTTTGATAGGGTAGATAGGAAAAACACAAAAAGAGATAGAAAAACTGTGTTCCTACAGAGCATAAAACAGTTCTCCATCATGTTTAGTATTCTACCCAGAATGATTACAGAATATGAGAAACCCATAGAATTAGATTTAATCATTAAAAACAAAACATTTTATACTTCCTAGGTCATTTTTACATATGACAATGCTCCAAACCAAGAAATTTCACACAGTTGACATCAAAATATATGGAGAGCAAATGCTTCACAGTCCTATCTTTGTTTTTCAAAATCATTCATAATTGCTTGCCCACTTGCTTTTAGATGATTCATAAATGTGGATTGCCAAATAGGCCAAAAGCACAGGAGGAGGCTCCAAAGTAATTAAACCCATGGTGAAGACTGAAATA